GATAGTACTAACTACTAAACATGCTCTTCTTATGAGTCTCAAAAAAATTCTACTAAAATTGTCTCAAATAAATCAAAGTAGATATCAAACATTTTGTTCCCATTTTAGTAATGGTGTTTTTTTTTCTATTATACACAAAAATTTGGAATTAATATTAAAAAATTTACAATGAATTATCAATTTATTCCTAATATAGAATTTTATTTGATTTGTGAAATAATAATTCAATGGATATAGTTATAGGTTAATCATTGAAATGATAACTAGTCCAAAACACTAGATTAAAAAAAAAAAAATGAACTATGATTAAATTTTTTTAACTATGATTTATTTTCTGTTTAGTTTTCATATCCTTGCATTTTTTTCATTTTTCTTATTAAGCATATATTCCTACTCTTTTTTTTAAGAAAAAAAACTTAATTAATTGTATATATTATTCATTTCTCATATATAATATTAAATTAACCTTTCTTTTATAATCTTTAATTTTAAAACTCATATTGTATGTATAAATTAACTTTACACGATCATTCGTTACAAGTCCAACAAGTTAACTTTATGTTCATTACAAGCAATATTTTCACTTGCACTACATAAACTATCATACAACGAAGACTAGAAAAACATAAACTAAAAAACAAAATTTGCTTACACGTACGGTCGATCGGTCCTCGAATCTCTATACACCGGCGGGCAATATCGCAACGCTAATCTCGTCGTCCCTACTATCGGGCGCAACATAATCGTACCTCTCGTTCGGCCAGAACATATAATACACGACGAGATAAAAAGCCAGCTCGACCGTCATCTCCAACACGATCGTCGCGTACCAAATCCCGTGCCCTCCGAAACACCTCATCACGAAAATCCCGATCCTCGTGGACCCCACGTACCCGTAGAGCGCGAGCTCGAAATTCCCAAACACCCTCTCGTGCATCAACGCCTTCGCCTCCTTCCCTTCCGTCTTCGACCTGCCGGGCCCCACGACGTGTTTCTCGGCTGAATCGCCTCCCAAAACAGGAAGAACCATCGCGACGCAACACAAGAAATCGAGCACGTAATAAGTGACGACCCAATTCTTGTAGCTCCCGCTCGACGGGCCGACGCCGCGCATCAGGACGAAACAAACGCTCGACGAGATTTGGAGGGAAACCGCGATCGAGACGATGCGTTTATGGAAGTCTTGAAGGACGGGACGGTAAATCGACCATCCGGACCCGATGAGCACGACGACGAAAGCGAAAAGCATGCTTCTCGAGAAATAAAAACCGAGCCACAAAACGTTCCAATAACTTGCCGAGCCCTTTTGTTCGATCGAATGAAGGGATTTCGCGTAACAAACGAGCTCCAAGAATCTCGAGAGAAGCAAAAGGCCCATCAAGATGTGGATTCGGTTGAGAAAGCGCTTGTAGACGATGCGTACGACCATGCGAGAACAAAAATGAAGAAAACGATCGAAAAGACGAAAACGCCCCTCGGGAGATCGGCGAGATGCTCGTTCGAGTAGTCTCGCCGGCCTTCGCCGAGATTGTACGCCTCTAAATCGACGGTCATCGAGACCGAAGAATTTTTTGCGCAGTTGACGAAGAAAATGTAGTATAAATCCGGGATCGTGACGGGTACGGTTTTCTTGAGCCCGATGGGCTTTTCATCTAGCTTCAGGATAGGGAAAACGAACGGGCTACCCAAAATGCAGGAGCCTCTGATCAGGGCTAGGATGAGGGACGAGCGGGCCGGGCTGGGCCCGTAGAAGAAGCCCATAAAGGATAGTCGAGTGGGCGTGGAGGAGGAATTCGGGTCGTCAATTGAAAAGGACGAGACGGATAGGGAGATGACTCCCGGGCTTTTGAACCCGAAATCTTGGAGGAGGATGAAGGCCCGATCATCGGACGAGATTCGAATCGTTCGGATTTCGGATATGGAAATGGGGAGGTTAGGGAAGATGAGGATGAAGAGAAGGGAGATGAAGTGTGTGTGAAATTTGCCATGCATTTTTTGGATGATTAAAAGGTAAATGAAAATTTTGCATGAGATTAGGGTGGTGAGGTTAGAGAGAGAGGGCCCAAATAACGGTTTTGCAAGTTTTGTGGTTCATTTTAAAGATGGTTAGTTATGTGAACATTTACTAATACACATGATAGATGGTGTCTTTATATATCTCCTATATATTAATCCAGAACGCGCTGAACTTACGTGGCTGCTTCTGGTATTTCGGAATCCTATGTGGCAAAATTACATGCTTCGTTATTTGGCTTGGGTAAATTTTAATTTAATTCCAAACCAAAAATAATTAGGTTCGGATTACCATAAATATGTTGATTATTTATGGTCATGTTACATGTATTAAT